ACAGTTTCCAAAACTGATAGGAGGCCTGGTAACAAATAACAAGATACAAGGGTTCTAACTGATTGACTCATCATTTGTGTTGGACTTAAGAGTTATATAAGCAAATGACAAGAGACGCATGAATAGGAAAATCCAACAACTACAAAAAGCCCCAAATTTAGACCAATGAACCCTCTCCTCATCTTAAAACCAAACCAACCAAACAAACAAACAAAAAACCAAATCTCCCTCCCCTCTACAAAAAATTCTAACAATAAGATCAGGGTTTTTTTTGTTTTGTTTTGTTTGGGGAAGCGGGGGAAGTTGGCTTTGGGTTTGTTTTTGCCAAGAATCAAGAATCAAAAGATACTATTGAAACTACACCTAGAAAATATTTTGTTTCAAGCCATATATTACGGCATGTTAGGATGAAAATAGAAGCTTGGTCATTTTCTCACCCTCATCACTTCTGGGCCAATCACATGTGGTAAATACACTAAACTAAGCTACACTTGAATTTTAGTTTTCTATGCTACTTGAGTAATGATGTATTATTACTTTTCCTCTGGTGTTACAGCTATCTTATTTATTTGAACCTAAACTAAAAATGATAAAATTCTTGTTGGGCTGATTTTTGTGTGTGTGTTGTGAGGCTTTTTATAGTCAAGTAAAGAAAAAAAGTAAAATATGATCATGATCATTTAAAATGTAAGAAATTGCTTAAAAATTTTTCCCACAAAGGGATTTATGTATCTTATGGTTGGCTAGCTACTGTTTTGATATCCTTCTGTACATAGAAAATATTTTCTATTGTCCCTAGCCAGATAAGCAGGAACAAATCTGTACCAACCTACTGACCATAGTACATTGTACTGCTGTACTGAATTCTGTGCCTTTTCCCCCCTCTCTCTAGTGGAGAATATGGTCTTCACGAATACACAGAAATCAAGACGGTCACAATCAAAATTTCTCAGAAGAACTCATAAATGACAAGCGTGCAGAGATGACTCCTCAATGGCTAAGCGTCTCCTACAGTAGCTAATGTATCACAGTAGGTTTTAAACGCCAAATTGTTCCTTCCTTGATTTTTTTTAAAAACATAAGCAAATCATATTAGCATTAATACTACACATAGAAAATTTGACATGTAGCTTATTCTAAAAGAATCATTTGCCTTCTGATATGTGACCCCCAAGTCCTATCTGTCATGAAAAGGATGGATTTGGATGTAGATCTCTCTAGCTCTGTGATAGTCGTGTGCTTTTCTTTGTAGCTACTTGTCTAGGATAATCGTTTTATAGAAGAGGACCAGTTGTCATTTAGCTTCTTGACGACCTTGACGACCCCTTGAAGAACTTACAGCACCTGTTAACTGCAGAGGGGATGTGCTCTATTACCATAGTTGTGAAGTTCTTGGAGTTTGTTGAAATGTTTCCTAGAATATCACATCTGCTTGTCAAAAAAAGTAATGCCTGAAATACTTAGTTATAATCTAAACACAAAGCTTAATAAAAACAACCTTGCATGATTCTTGTTAAGTGTGAATTTTTTAAGTAGACTTTTGGTTATGGTGATTTACTCAGCAGGTCACTCAAAAACAGTATTAAATTGAACCTAAAGATATATTTAAAAATAAAAGTATAATCCACTCATTCTCAAATGGGTAAAGAGACACATTTTATTTTCTGGAGGAATTCTTGAAATCAACAAAAGACATTTGAGACAAGATGACCTCAGTTCCACAGCAAGCACTTACTGAGTTCCTACACTATGTTACTGAGTTCTGGGCACTATGTTAGGGGTTGTAGAAAATAAGTGGATAGTGGAGGGTCCATTATTCAAAGTGTCCTAATATGTTGAGGAACAAAGACACCATCCCAGAAAAGGATGGGGCATATAATAGAAATGAGAGTTCAGAGAACCACAGGAGTACAGTAATGTGCCAAAGGGTAGTGATGACCTGTAACTGACAGACTTAAGAATGGACTCATGAAGGAAACTTGACTAGATATGAACCTTAATGATGAGCAGATTTGCAGTGAAGAGGAAAGAAGTTCTACAACACAGTCCCTCAGGACATGTTCCACTGGCAAAATATTTTGGAAAAGTTCTATATAGTATTTTCCCCTCTTGGAGTTGCAGCTTGCACATTGGTATATTCTAAGTTCTGGGAAGTCCTACAACCTGTTTAGTCTTGTTGAATTAATAGGTTTTTCTCCCAAGTCTATTTAACCAGAGGTCTTGCCTTCCCCTCACCCTCCTTTAGTACCAATTAACATTAAGAAGTCCACATTGGAAGATGCTGTTACGTGCAGCAAGGTAGCGCTGGGGGTTCTGAGCAGAGGCCTGGGATCGAAGAGAAGCAGCTGGAGAACGTCGTCTGTAGAACTAACTGGACCATATTTGTGTATTTGGGCCCCTGAAGGGTTCTGCTTGTTCCGTTCCCGTGTGGGAAGTGACTCAAGCCCAAGTGGAATATTTTTCGTGTGTCACTGTACATATTCTGAAACTTCTAGTTCAGCAGATTAAAATTTAAGCCTAGTATTCTTTAGGATAACATTTTTTACATTTTTTTCAGATTCAGGTTTCATATAAATGGTTATCGTTTTACATTAACAGATTCTTCAGGGACACTGTGATTAGGACATTATGACAGCTACCATAGTCAAGTGCAACAATGTATGAACGAACGAAATTTATTAGCTTCTCAGACCTGAAATAATTTCATGTCCAATTGCAAGAGTTTCTCAAATTTGTATGGGCCTATAGGATTTGCAATCTGGACTATGTTATACAAATTTGGGACATAATGCCCATTTTGAAAACTGGAGGAATCAAAGTCTTAGGGAGAACTGAAAAATGTTAGGACATTGAGAAGAGAAAAAAATCCAAATATAGAGGAGGGCTGTGTTTCCTAAAAGCCAGACAGTGTCTATATTATAAAAAGATATGTTTAAAACCATGCATAGATAAATTAGTAGGCAGACAAGTTAATATTTAATGGCATCCCACCAGAACATTTTAAAATGTAGAACAAAGAGGGATGAACATAGAACAAGACAAAAGCCAGAAGCAAGTTTAAATATTTGAAAATTAAATCTTCCTTGTATAAATAAAACATTACAGGATTAAACAAAAAATATCTGTTTAATATTGGCTCATCCTGACCCTCTAGACATTATTTGTGTTCCTTCCCCTCTGATTTATAAAGCCATACTGGCAATAATTCTTAAAACCTTGAGAAGTTAAATTAGGATATCTTGTTAGCCCATGTGCTACAGGAAATACAATAAGGAATTTTATCATAAGGAATTCAATTCTGCATTCATAAATACAATCTCATTGTCCTCAATATCCACCTGGCAGAAGTATTTTCATCTCCAGGAGTTCCAAAGTAAGTCATAGAAGTTGGAGGTAACAGTTCAGGCAGAGGCAAGATCAGGGATCAGACATGGATTCTCAAATGTCTGGGGTCTTTTTCTCCCCAATTTTTAGGCCACATGTTTCTGGATTTATTTTGAAATAGCCAACAAGAAATGGCAAGAAACATTTTTCTTAAATTCTTGCAGCCAACTGAAAATAGAGTTAGCTCATGGAATTTTAGAATTTCTTCACATAATTTGGGAGGGGGTAATGGGCCCAAAAGACACCTTTCCCTGGGAAATGCACATAATTTTTTGAGTATGTAATTTTATTTGGACTTTTAGAAGTGTACATGTTCCATCAACTAAACTCTTATCTTCTGGTGGCTTTTGCAGATTATATCAAATAACCAGGTTACAATTTCACATGAAGCATAAAGTTCCAATTAGAATTTCATTTGCTGATTTACCTTGGGTTTTCTTTTTCTTTCTTTTTTTTTAATGCTCTCTGGACATGCATTTGAGTCTGTCCTTTTTCATAGTGAGAGAAGGAAAGGGGATTGGAGATGATAGTTAAATTCCCTGGACACCAAAAATCAGTGACTGCCAGGAGGGCATGGAAGCTCCCTCCCGTAACATGCTGGACCTGTGGTAGCCTGGAAGGTATTGTCCTGAGACAACACACAGATGAGGGAGAAACAGCTCAGTTACCACTTTGCCATTCTGTAGGGGAGAGGGGATGGCATCTGTCTCTGAAGGCAAGGCCACAAAATTCCCAGTGGGGGCTTGTGGTTGCTCTAGACTAGTCTTTAGACTCTGAGTGGTGGTTTTATCCCAGAGGAAAATAGTCACATCCACTATCATCTATAAATATTTAGGATAATTCCAAAATCCTGAGAAAGTCAACTTTCTTGCCTAATGGGATTTCTATGCCAAAGGTATTGCAGTGTGTTTTGCACATTTACTTTGGTGTCATATGCTGACTACTTTCACAGGCATTTAGTTTAGTTTAGTTAAGTTTTTTTTTTTTTGAAGCATGGTTGTTGTGTTTCATTTTTTTTTAAATGGACACCTCTGAGCTTTACAGAAATGTTCATAGGAAACCCAACATGGTACTAGCCTGAAGCGATTTCACTAGAGTTTCAGGATTTTAGGATTTCTTTACTTTTTGTCAGGTCATTTGTTCAAAGATTCATCAGGCCTAAAAAAATATACTAAATTTGAAAAAGCAAATTAGGCTGACAACTAATCTTTTAAACTTGTTATCTAAAATATTTCAAACTTTTGGAGGAGCTGTTACAGCAACACAAAAATCTTTCATATATCTTTTACTTACTATTTTTAAATATTTTCCCACATTGTCATTTTCATTCTCATTCTCTATATAGATTCATTTTTTCTTAAGACAAACTTTTAAAAATAACACATGAACATCATTGTCCCTTTACCCCAAAATACTTCAGTATCTTTTACTAAAAACAATAACATTTTTTTTCCACAAAACCACAATATAATTATTTCATTTAGGAAACTGAAAATTGACAAAATACTAGTATCTAGTACACAATCCATATACAGTTTTCTCTAATGTCCTTTATGGCATTTCCCCCCAATAATCCAAAACTGAATTCAAGACCATGTATTGCATACTTACCATAGCCTCCTTCTGTCTTACTATTCCTCAGTAATGACACCATACCTCGTAAGCACACCTAATGTTCAGTCAGGTTGTGTTGTTGGCCTGGAGAGAATCCTAGAGGACACACAAAACTCAAAGTTACTGAGTTAACAAGAATCAGAGAAAAGGAGGTTGAACAGTTTGGAAGAATAGATACCTCAAGATTTAATTTTTAATTACCATCCTCCATGATAAACTGACAAGAGTATTTATAAGCCAAAAAAATACCTTCTCCCTTGGACAATTTTGAAAAAAAGCCATGAGTTTCCTTGCAGATATTAGTGATTTCCCTTTGTCTGCATTACTACAATATTGCCCTTTTTCATTTTACTTCCTAGCTTACTTATTTGAATATTTTTTTCCTTATTAACAAGTTGCCTACATTCTGGTGACATCTGGAGAGGTACTTGAATTTTAACTAGTTACAAATCCCTAGCCACAAAGCAACATTTTAAATGACTTTCCTTTCAAACTGCAATTGTAGTATAAAGATCTTGACCTTTGGAGTCAAAGAGATTCTAAATTCTGGTTCCACTGCTCACTAGTGGTAGTATCTTAGGTCAATTATTAAACCTTTCTCATTTAGCAATCTTTTCAACAGATAATGGTGGCTACTGATACTTGGAAAGCAACATAATGTTCTACACAATCACGTGAGTCCTTGGAGCCCAGTATCTCTGTTCTGTACTCACTGGCCCTGAGATTTGGGGGAAAATTCCCAACCTTTCTAAATTCCAAGTTCTTTATCTGTAAGGAGGAATTAATCATGGTTCTTATCTAATCGCATTATCCTATTAAATGAAATGTTTGTTGTTCCTAGGATGCAACAAGTGTCCAACATATTTATGATCTACACATGAATGTTTTAGATTAATAACAATATCAACAAAAATAATAAAGTGTCTTTAGACAGCCAAGAAAGTACCTTTCTCTTGATCTTGACTTTGTATTTTTTATATGCTCTTTTCCTTAGTCTTCCAGTGACCTCGCTAATCTCAGGACTCCATAGTTGTGATTTGCCTACCCTTCCATCATTAAAAAAAATAACAATAATCATTTCTTTCAGATAAAGGTTAAAATTTACCATCAAAGCCAGAGCAGGATGGAGCATGTGAACAAAAAAACTTGTTTTAGGGCTGAGACTAGAAATTTGAATATATTTAATCCCAAAATGGGGTTAGTTCTAATTAAATGAACTCAACTGCCTTTCACCCCTGAGTTGCCAGTCATCATGATTAATCTTTAAGCTAATAGTCAGGGACAGCGGGACTAAGCAAATGACAAACAGAAGAGACTGGTTTCAAATGCAGTACCAGAGCCCACAATGACATTGGTTACCTAGTGATTGATTCAGAGACTCAGCCCATATGAATTCAATGGGAAGGATTAGTGGACTTAAAAGCACATGGCTTAGCATTTGTGTTCAATGTGCAGTCATCCTAAATTCATGTAACCACAGAATGTCAGAGCTAGAAAAGAACTCAGTGTTCTAGCCCAATAACTTCATTTCACAGAGGCACGGAGAAATTGAGCCACTTGAAAGGTTGCTAAATTACCATTGGCAGAGTTTGGCTAATGCCCTCTGTATTCTATCTCCTGGTTCAGTGCTACTACCTGGGTCCCATGAGGCACTGTAGAGGTTTAACTGATACCTGATTAAATATGTAGCATCCACTGTTTTATTTTATTTATTATGTTTTATTCCTTGTGTCTAAAAAATAAAGTTATGTAATACCCATTGTTACATTTTGTTTGCTTGTATTTTATTTATTGGATTTATTCCTTTTGTCTATAAAAGGAAAAGCTCTAAATGATAGTTTTTCATAAGCCTTCAAATAATGCAAATTAGTTTCAACCACTTACTTGCAAAACAAAGTGCCTTGATTTAGTTACAAAAACAAAATTCATTGCATTTATTGATTTAACAGTTATGGGAAGTCTACTGTGTACAAAATACTAAGGATCGCAAAGGAAATAGTGGGTACTGAGATCTTGTTCTATGAAAACACAATTCTAGTGACTTATAGAGGTTATTTGCTTTATATAAAAATGAAAGAGCCTGCTCTCTCAATGTTTACATCTAATAAAGGAAATGAAATGAGAAATATACACAAAATTCTGGAAATAAGACATAGAGTATACAAATAAAGACTGATAGCAAAACATCTGCAGTTGTTTGGAGGGAGGAACATGGCTTCTCCCTGGAGAAGCTTTTGCGGAGCAGGCAGCACCTGGCCCAGCCTGACACATAGTAGGACCTGACCAAGTGCAGATGAAGCAGGAAAGATGTTCTGGCCTAAAAGTCAGGAGTACAAGTTGAAAAGCCCCAAGCATATGTGGTGAACAGTGAAGGTCCTGCTTGGTCGGGAGATAAAGCTGGACAGGAAGTTGGGGGCAAGAGTATGGAAATCTTGAATTCCAAGTTAAGCCATAAAAATGTAACAGACAAAAAGAAATCTTAAAATGAATGGTAAATTTACTGAGATAAGTTTTTTTCAATTAAACTTTTAATTTTTAAATACTTACAGATTCACATGTAGTTGTAAGACATAGTAGAAAGAAATCCTCTGTACCTTTTTTGCCAGTTTTCCCCAATGGCAACATCTTTCAAAATTCCAATTCAACATCACCATCTGAACATGGATGTCAGTACAGCCGAGATACAAAACATTTCCATCATCTTGTGGATCCTCATGTTGCTCTTTTACTGTCACATTCACATCCCTCCCACCTTCACCTCTCCCTTAATCCTTAACAATCTGTCCTCCATTTCTGCAATTTGCCATTTCAAGAAACATACAGTATGCACCCTATGGGGATTGGCTTTTTTCTTCAGCCAGCATAATTCTCTGGAGATTCATCCAAGTTGTGTGTATTGAGTCATGATCATGTAAAACATATGATTAAATTTTATCACTTGTAATGGGAATTGTCTTGGCAGGTTTTAAGACACATGTCTCTAGAGAAGGGTTTATTATTTTTTGTCTCTAATAACTTCTGAATAGAGTTGCAATGGCTTATCGTGTCCCAGCCAAGTGTGAGTGCAGAATGACAATGAGATGGTGGGTGAGCAGGAGGAGGGTCTGTTGGCAGGAACATAGAATGTTCTGTTTTCCTGCTTCTCGAGATGTAACTGAATCTCTTCTGAGGTTCTGACTTAGATTTAGGGAGGTAGAAGGGACAATGCTTCCAGTATCCACATTAGAAACAAAACAAACCCTTGAAGAATACAGAGTAGGGCCCCCATCAGAGAGTGTGTCCTCATGTTCTTAGGCAGGCTCACCAGGTCAGGAGACTTTCAACCCCATGGGTCTTCATCCATCTTCATTCATGAGTCCTCTCCAGAAAGCCTGAGGTGGGAAGCATGTGGCTTCTCCATCAGGACACTTTGACATACTGGTCCTTACATTGCCCAATAGACTAGTCCATTCCAGCTGTTCCCCTACCCAGAAGAAGTTAGCTTGTCCCCACTTGAACCTAGCTCTTTCTCCCACCAGCTGCTGAATTAGGTTAAGATAACCACAGCACTCAGGAGAGTTCCAGACCCTCCCTGCAGAGTGAAGGTATAGCTTCCATGGGATACCACAGAACACCACAGGACACCACGGGACTCCAAAGAACTCCACAGGACACCACAGAACACCACGGGACATCACGGAACACCATGGGACACCACAGAATATCATGGGACACCACAGGACAACATGGAACACCATGGGACACCAAAGAACTCCACGGGACACCACAGAACAGCAGCACCTCTTCCAGAACACTTGGTTCACTCCAGGCACTATTCAAAGTGCACTCAGTGAGTTATCTCATTTCTTCCTTGCAACAGCCATATGAGACCAGTATTACTTTCCTCATCTTGTAGGTGAGAAAACTGAAGCTCAGAAAAATTAACTTGACAAAGTTGCACAGCTAGTAAGGAGTAGCATGAAGATTCACAGCCAGGCAGCCTAACTACGTAATTCCCCTCATTCTGAACCAATAAACCCTAATAATTGGGCATCAGGCCCAGTCAGGCAATTGCAAACTACAGAATACTACTAGCACATGAAGGGAGCTGTCATCTCTCTCATTCACTGGCTCTACCAATCAAAAATTTACCCAAATATTTCTCTGCCTGGTGACATTCAAAACAATGGTCTCCACAGCCCTGGTTTTTCAAGGTCTTATCGGGCCTAGTGGGATGATTATGGTGTTTCTGTAACATTTCAAGACTTTTAAGCTGATTTTCAAAGATAAAGGTATTTTCTGAGGGCTCATCTCCTTCAACAACAATGGGTGTGCTCATTTTTAGGCAAATCAAATCTTAAGGGAAAAGGTAGAAGAGAAAATCTTTAGATTTAAGTATTTTTTTAAAAATAGTTAAATTATGGCCAAGGGAAAAATCAAAGAAAGATTTGGAGAAATAAAGAATGAAAGCCCAGGGACGCACAGACACTGAATAAGAAGAACTGTATGTTACTATAATGTGGACTTTGGTGATGTTTCTTTAGGACTTAAGTCGGTGGTCACTTCAATCCTGAAGTCTCCCTGCCACACGCATCTCTCCACCACTCTTCCAGTTGGTTGGCTCTCCTAACTGTCCCGTAGTTAACCAGTCAGTAAATCTCTCACTTAGAATGTATGGTTCTCAACTGTAACCCTCTGTTTACATGCTTGCTTCACATACTGGACTGAAAAATGGCAGCTTGAGATTGGATGCTGTGCTTTTATTTTACATTTCTCCATCCAGTACGGTGCTTGGCACTTACTAGGGGTTCAAATAAAATTTACAGAATGAATTTGCCCTCTGACACACTGGTCTTTTGCAAGCTCGGGCTACACTTCAAAAAAATGTGTTTTACATGTACAACATGTATGCTTGATTTGCCCAACTGGACTTTTGCTCTTCCCAGTCCTAAATCTGGGGAAAATGGAAAGGGTATGGGCACCAGTGATCAGGGGATGCAGGCCAGGAGAGAGCCAGAGCCACTGCTCATTGCACGACTGCAGGTGGACAAGAGTCACTGAGGTAGATCAGAAATACAGCCTCCTTACCACAGGCAGGCACACCAGTCCTTACATGA